TCGACATTTTCCGATCGGGCTAATTCGGACAAATTTAACCAACATACCGGCAATTTCTTACATGTAAATCATTTTTTGCCTTTATTGATCGAAAAGTTCATTCGATAAGCTATTGAATCAATAAGGGTAAGAAGTGATTTAATGTACATAAGAACCGGTATGTTAGTTAAAAATGTTCCGAATTAGCCCGATCGGAAAATGTCGAAGGGTGATTTTCCTAGCAAAGATCCCACATGATCTGTTAATGTTACACGCAAATATGTAGATCTATTCATCTAGCTGCCAATTTTGTCACGGCAAATTCTTGATTTCAGTTGGATAAGAGCGACGATCAAAATTTAGGCAGTCGCCCATTAAGTGAAAAATGTTCCTGGGCTAAATTTAACATAATGTGTGCCCATTTCTATTTTAGAATGAAAAAGTTAACATATGAGCAAAAATTTTTTGATGGAAATGTCGTGATTATAAAATTAAGTGACATATGTAATGATTTATAAATAAGTATTCATTGTTACTTGGCGAAATCGTGTCCAAGAGACCTGAAATTGTACCGTAGTACGAACACCGAAAGCCCGTGAATGAATGTGCAAAAATCCCATTGAAGCGACGATCACAAGTCAACCCTGAAAATTTTAATAATCGCCAAAACGAAAAAATCGAAAAGTTAATTCGGCAAAAAATTATGTAAACAATTATGTAATGCGGGCCAAAATTTTGAAGATCACGACGTTAGCCAATCAAAAGCAAATTTCTGCCGTGACAAAATTGGTGCAGTAGCTATGCGAAAATTGAATTTGAATCAGTGCCCGGTTTGCAGATCTTTCTGTGTAAAATCCTTATGTGCATAATCATCCAAATTTATTATTTGAAGTTAAAATTATAATTTTTTAAAATTTGAGCGTAGCTTTCTTATCATTTTAATGAAATTTATTTATTTAAATTCTACAGATATTAGAATTCAAATAAAAATTTTTTTATCGAAATTGGCTTAGTTATCGAGAAAACTTTGCTCAAAGTCAAAGAAAATCTTTCCGTCTATAATTGTTTAGAACTTTGAAGTTTTCTTGACAATCAGCTAACTAATATCTACAAAAACCTTTATTTAAATATTACATAATGCTACACGAAGATTATTTTTCATTTTGCATTATGCGAATTCGAAATTTCGATCGGGTGGTCGGATTTTTTTTTAAATTAATAGACTGGGCTTTCTTGAAAAAGCATTTTGCTTGTTCAGATGACTTCAAGTTCTTTAATTAACTTCGGATCAGTTAAATTATAAGGCATTATAAAACTATGTTGAGTTTAACCTATCAGTAACTTACCAGGTACAAGAATGACTTGTCACCATAATATCTATGTAATAATCCCTTATCCATTTTAAAATTTGAAAATTAGTGTACATTAATAGGTTTTCAAAACCTCATTCCTTCCTAAAATAATACAAATTTCAATTGATAAAAGTCGGCCAAAAATGGGAATACTAATAGAATGATTTATCTTTATGCCAGAGATTGCTATCAATATGAAACTAGAAAAGACATTCCCAGAACCCGTGATTTACATATTTATCATAGACCTAATTGTATGTAGTTTTAAAAATGATTTGTACAGGATGTCTACGCTAAATTTGTAAACTTTTAAGTCTAATGCTAACCTGAAAATGCCCAATTAGAAGAGATGATCATACAATCAAAAGGATCTACATTGTAAGACATCAGAGATGTGTTCTTTAGGCCGTTCAAAGTTGAATAGTTGTTTAACGTCATACCCCCTCGTGTTGATTATTGATGTAACTGATAATGTTCACACAATACGTTGCATGATCGTTCACGGTGTGATAATATTTCGATAACCTTACTATTTTATCATTCGTATAAATCAAATTGAAGAATAAATTAGCCATCCTTAAATACAAAAAATTTTGTTGTATATTATTTTCCGGATCTTCTTTGCGACCACAGTAGTATTAGGCATAATTTATGTATTATCGATGGCCTAGTGCAATCTACACCAAAATTGCGCCATCAGATTTTAATATGAACGTTATGATTTTAGTGTTAACTTCATAAGAAATTTGAACTTTTTTGCTTAAAACGGTTAACAATATGAAGGGATTGTTTAACTGTGTTAATGTGATAATAAATGATGACGATACTGAGATGGATGATGCGAGCGAGCCGATAACCGATAATAACCGACTGATGACGACCGAACCCATCCCTAGTCGGCAGGTTATGCAAAACTAAAAATTAATTTTACGTGGCCTTAGAGATATCCAGTTAACGAATTAAGTAAGCTTTTCAACAACAACGATCATCATTTCAAATTTACCGGAAATATGATGCATCGCTCATTTGAAAATGAATGTCATTTATTTCTGTTAATTCTGAAATCACTTAACATATTTCATTAAAAATAAATCTATAAATGTTAATTTTATGTATTTGACTAAATAAAAACAGAAATAAAGACATGTTTAAACTAACATGCATAAGTATAACCACTATGACACATGTATTAGCATAAGTATAACCACTATGAACATATGTATTAGCATAAGTATAACAACTATGACGCATGTATTAGCATAATTCAACCCCTAGATACGTATTTCAAGCGGGCCAGTCTAAGCAATACATCGCGCTATATACCGTATAACATGCACAACCAAGACCATTATAAGAATTATTATCTATCTTATAGAAAATATAAGGATAAATAGAAAGTGATGGAATGTCAATATCTTCAGGCATTGTAATTTCCACTATTATTTCATATTTTTTTCCAGCTGGAATTGGGCAAAAAGTGTTATTTCCGATACAAATTTTCTGAGAATATTTATATGAAGTAGGTGTACTCCTGAATACAATATCAATTTTGTATTCTGTAGTAAGTTTGTCCTTTAATACATTAGTAAAGTTAAACGTGATATTCTTTCCAGCAATAGGAGTTTGTGGAGTAGTTGTCATATTAAATATTGGCACAGAATTCGGTAATGGATAAACGTATGCTGAACCAAAATCTGTGGTATAGCACTCTATCGGCTCTTGCGTATTAACCATCGAAAACGCATTTAATAGAATAAATAGGCATGTAAAATATTGAATCATGATGTTTTGAAGTAATTTAAGCAATATCAAATAAAAATGTCTTCGAAATTTAAATATTCACTGAGATTTACATATTAATAACAGCTCATTTTAGTGATGCTTAATAAGGTAGGGATTGAACCCGAATAGAAATTGTTACTATACGATTACCCGAAATATATAATAATTTACCCGGATAACCCGATAATTTAATTATACTCGGGTAGAGATTTTCTCAATGGGTTCAATCTCTATAATTAGGATTGTTAATAAAATAATTTTATATTTTAAAATTTTTATTTTCTAAACCATAGATTTCTTACAATCTAACAAATAGAATTTAAAAAATTTTATACTATTTAATTCTTCTTAAAATTATTAAATCCTATTTGTTATATTATAACATATCCAATAATAATAAATTCTCTATTTTTTATATTTCTTTTTAAGAAATATTTTATTTACATATGTGTATATATTATTTCTATTTATTATATTTAATAAATATATTTCTAAAATAAATTATTTCTAAATTATTTCTTTCTGTATAGTAATAAAATTTACTTCTAAGTTTGTATAACATAATTTTTTAATTGTAAAAATATTAAAAGCTAATAAACTTAACTTTTTATTTTGCTCTTTATATAAACACTATTTGGCTTTTGCTTTTTCTAAAAAATACTAGGTTGTAAATTTGTATTATTTTTTCTTGGTTTTAACGCCAAAATGTCTCTATCTACTTGAATTAAAGTTTAACAACCTTAGATCTCTTATAAACATTGTCTCTAATCAAACTTTTTAAATACTGTAATTATTTTGGATTAATTTTAATAGAAGATAGGTATTCAAAAGCCCTTTTCGTTATTTTTTTTAAAAAAGTATTTAATTGCTATGTTTTTTAAAATTCATGAGAATAAAAAGTATTTAAAAGTGCATATAAAAAGTTAAAATTTTTTATTCAATTACGATGATCATTATTAAATTTGGGTTTGTCCACTCTAGTGATACGGGCCGATGAAAAAATCGTAGGCCGGGTCGATCCTAAAAAAGTTCGGGCCGGTCGACCGGGCCGACCTTTTTGCTAGTGTAATTTTTTTCTGATCAAAATCAGTCAACATATCTATATTAAACGTGCAAAGTGTTAAATTCTTGTGATATTAAACGATTTACAGCTGTTTTCATAAATTCTGCGATACTTGATAAAATTTGCCGAATGATTTTTCGGCCGATTCGATTAATCTATTGATTTCGGCAATGATCGGTGTATATTTTTACATGTAAAATAATTTTATCATTATAAGGTAGATGTGCACTAAAATCAGGAACGTAGACAACGATATTTATGCCAATTCTTACATTATATCATAAAGCTTTTGATTAGATTTAGCATTACGACCTAATATTGAAAATTTATTCATTTATTTTGTTATAATATGGAGAGTTTCGCATTGTGATTTTATCAACTTTGCAACTCGTGTAGAGCAAT